AACTGCGGCGAGCTTGGCCATGGGCAGTGGGATTGTCCTCACCCGCGGAACGCCGCGCCGCGCGGTCCGGTGGGAGGCGCCAGGGGCGCGCGCGGAGGCGCAGATGCAGACCGGGCACCGGCCAGGTATGGGCGTCTGGCATACGGGGAATCTGACATATTCGTAAACACTGATGGGGATGATTCAAAGGGGGAGGTCGATCGCTGCTGCTCGCCCGCTTGGAGTGATGGAGAGAGTAACCCTGTCGCGCGGATGGCGGATGGGCGCAAAAAGAAAAAGGGGGACGCTCCGAGGAAACCGCGCCGTAAGCCAGTACTGAAGGATGACTGGCGGGACTTAGTAGGGGACATGATCAAAATACCGGTCTGTATGATGCGCGGTATCTCGAAACGCGAGGTCTACACGCAGTTGGTGCTAGCGATTCGGCACCAACTCGGCACCAAAAGGCGTAAGGCTAAAGTACAGGAGGCAGAACAGGAGGTCGTTGAGAAGGGTGAACCGATGGAAGTGGGGGATGGCGAGATCACGGAGGCGGGGCGCATAGCGCAGGAATCGGGTGGGGTGCACGCCCGATGTACTTTGAATGGGCGGGGCGTCAAGTGCGTAATCCTAGACCCGGGGTCCTCTCACTCGCTGATTGATAAGGCGTGCGCTGATAAGATGGGTCTGAGGGCGTCAGCGGTACGCCTGCCTCATATCGAGTTAGCAAACGGACAGCGCGAGCCGGTACATGCGTTGAGGGGGCCTGTTAAGGTGTCGGTGGAAGGGGTGGTCGTGGAACTGACGGGAAGGCACGTCGATGCGAAGGGAGCATACGACGTGCTCCTTGGGCAAGACTGGTTAAGTAACACCGCGAGTACTGCTGACTTCAAGGCCCGTACGTATACCCTGGGCTCAGGGAGGGTGATCGTGCGCCAGCGGGGCCGGCAATTGGAGGTCCTGCCCAGTACCGCTGCTGTGCGCGAATTGAGGGAAGTGACGAGTGATACGTCAGAAACGTCCAGCAGTGATGAAGGTGATGCTGACGGCGTCCTTCAAGGGCTCCTGGCGCAGTTTGATTTGGAAAGTGACAGCGACACGTTTTTCGAAGAGGATTGCACGGCCCCCGCCCGATTGGCAGGTCTCCCCACCATCATGGACGACCTGGAAAATGAGTGGCTGGCGGAGATCCATTTTGGCCCCACGTTATCGCCAACGGTGGTGAGGGAAGTGCGCGACTTGCTAGTGCAGTACAAAGACTGTTTTGCCGTCTCGTACTTGGACTTGGAACGAACGCCTGCCATGACATTTCACATCCAACTGAAAGAGGGTGCTGCACCTGTGTATTGCGGTGCTCAGCGGAGATTTGCCCCAAAAGAACTAGAATTCATGGAGAAGCAGCTGGAAAGCTTGGAAAGTGCTGGACTGATAGTGAAGTGGGAAAAGGATTGTGAATGGCTATCCTCTGTGACATTCCCACCAAAGAAAGGGGGTGACATGCGATTTTGCTGTACGTACGTCGCCTTAAACCAAGCGACTGTCCCCGACCGCTTCCCCCTCCCCCGGATTGATGAAGTCGTGGAAGATCTGTCCGGGTACCCGCTCTACACGACTGTAGACGGGTTCAGTGGGTATTATGCCGTGGGACTCGATGCGGAATCCATCCCCCTTACAGCCTTTCTGACACCGTTCGGTATTTATGCATGGACGGTGCTGCCGTTTGGGCTTCGAAATGCCCCCCCGCGTTATAGCCGCCTGGTAGCAAGGGCATATGGTGGGTTGGAAAGGACGCGGACGTTTGTGGACGATGGGGGCATTGGACACACGGGGGAGGACAGCATCACTCGGGATTTGCGCACATTTCTGGACCGCTCCCGGGAGTTCAAGTTGAAACTCAAACCCAAGAAGGTCTTTATTGGGTTTGAGCAGCTGGAGTTCGTGGGGCACACCCTTTCTGCGAGGGGCATGGCGGTGCTGAAGGACAAAGTGGAGAAAGTGGAGAATTTTGAGATCCCCGTCACAAAAACGCAGCTGCGAAGTTTTCTTGGCATGACAGGTTACTACCGTCGTTTTGTCAAGAATTTCGGCCAGATCTCCAAGCCACTGACCGAGTTGCTCAAGGTGACCCCAGAGCGACGGGGCGCTGAGCTGCCTACATGGGACGATGCACACCAGCGGGCCTTTGTGGAGCTGAAATCGGCCCTCACCCATGCACCGGTGTTGGCAAAACCGGACTGCAATCGCCCCTTCATTGTGGACGCCGATGCAAGTAACGATGCGGTGGGGGCTGTACTTTCTCAGGTTTCGGATGGCAGTGAGCACCCTGTGTATTATCACTCACGCCTTTTGACGAGTGCAGAACGGGCATACTCAGTGACTGAACGTGAGGCGTTGGCAGTGGTGGTGGCTGTGGTGAAGTTTCGGCCATATATATTAGGCCGAACCACAGTTGTGAGAACTGATCACATCCCGATTTTGGGGCTGCTGCGGAAACGTGATCTGACTGGGAGATGTGCACGTTGGAAATGCATACTTGCAGAATATGATATTGAGTTCCAGTCGCGCAAAGGGCAGAAACATTCCAATGCTGACGGAATGTCCAGAATGAGGGCAGGAAATGCGGCGGAAATCGTACCTAATGCTGCAGAAATTGATGATGACGAATTCCATTTCTGGGCCAGGGAAGTGGACGATGAGATGTCCATTGAATCGAATGATAACCAGTCTGAATGTGCTGAGTTGTGCATGGGAGAATGCGAAGGGAAAGTGGGCATGGACCCGGAGGACGAGATGGCAGCGATCCCCACTGACGGGATTCAGCGGTTTGTGAGTTCTGGGTGGTATCAGGGCATCATGAGGGAAGTGTTTTCAACGGAAGAGTTTAAGGTGGAAGGCGGACGCCTGCTCAAGCGCATGGCAGGTGGCACCTACGCGATTTGCCTTCTAGAGGCTGAAGTACCAAAGGCCCTACGACAAGCCCACGATTCTGCACTTGGGGGCCACTACGGGAAAGAGGTGACTATGAAGCGCCTAGAAGGGGCATTCTGGTGGCCCACTTTGAAAGGTGATGTCACCGCCTGGGTTGATAAGTGCATGCGCTGCGCGCAACATGGCCCTCGAAAGGCTTCACGGAATCGCGTGCCGGTGGCTGCGAGGCAGCCGTTTGAGTGGGTCCAGATCGATTGGATATTGGGTATGCCGGTGACGCCAGCTGGAAACCGTTGCATAATCGTAGCGATTGACGGAATGACGGGTTATATGATGGCCCGTGCGTATCCCAACGCGACCGCAGCTGCAACAGTGGAATTCGTGGTGAATGAAATCATCTTGAAGTTTGGAATCCCGCAGAAAATTCATACGGATAACGGAGCGCATTTCCGCAGTGCATTCCAGACTTTATGCGAGAAATGGGGGATTCGACGCAGCTGGTCTGCAGCATACTACCCCCCATCTCATGGAAGGGTCGAAAGGGGTAATCAGGAAGTATTAGTGCGATTAAGAAAGATGTGCGAAGGAGATTGTTGGGACCATCTGTTGGTGGGAGCACTTTTCGCCATCAACACGCGCCGCACGCGGAGACGCAATGCATCGCCAGCTGAACTGTTGTACGGAGTTCTGCCCAGGGGCCCAATGGAAATCAATGTGCTGGCTGAGTGTGACATAGCGCCATCACTGCCAGAGGAGGGCGAGAACACTGATAGGGACAATGCTGCGAGATTGGCGAAGTTGGAGCAGCTGCGCCAACAACACGTGTTGCAGCGGCAGGAGGTTGCACGTGCTTGGGAGCATAAGGACACGACCAGCCTGCAACCGGGAGATCCTGTGCTTTATTGGGTGGAGAAGAGGGCCCACAAGCTAGCGCCACGATGGGCTGGACCTGCCACCGTCAAGTGGGTAGGCGCCAAAGGAGCGATTGGAGTGAAAGTGCCGGGAAAAGGACGCACGAAGGTTTTTGCGGGACACCACGTCAAATTGTGCACCGCGGATCTAAGGGCCAGAGCGCCAGTGGCCGGAAAGCATGGAATCAAGCATCAAGCCGGGTCCGGAATAGCTCCAAAGGATGACGGAGTGGGCAGCGGTCGCCCACCAACAAGACGGCCAAGAAGGTGAAGGTTCGGAGGTGAAGGTGCATCAGAGCCGGGGAGCATTTTGCCAATTGAGCGATGGAAAGAATGGCAGCATCTGTCTATGATCTGATCGAGTGAATGGGGGCAGTGGCCGATGATCGATTTTTGCTTGCGCCGGGGACGTCGCGACTTGCGCCGATAGTGCTATGGGGAGTGGGGTTGTACGTATGATAGGGGAGCCAGTTAAGGGGAATTGGCAGTAGTGAATGAACGGGGACGGCTTTGGGATTGGATCATCGTTGGGGATGGCGGCGGGAATAGGAGCTGAGGAAGTGTGGGAGTGAGGGAGAGTGGGAGTGGGTAGTGTACGCGGGTAGCTGCTGGACTAGTTGGCAATGGATCATAGTTGGTCTGGGCGGCGGGAATAGAAACTTGGCATGAGAAATGGACACGAACCCGGCCAGCTCGTGAAAGTGGCCAGAGTGGTTATTCTGGAGACAACAACTCATGAACTGTCACACCATCGCACTATAAATACCACTCGCTTCGTTTGTAATGATGGGTTCGGATCGTGAGTGACAGACCTGTCTTCCCCGCGCGTGGCCGTCGTGAATGCCTCCCGTACCCACGGGGTCGCCGCAGCCCAAAGGCTCATTGCGCAATTGAGCCGCCCAAAGGCCGACAGTGGCACCGGGCCTTTATTTCGGTTCCAGCCAGTCATGAACTGATGCACCGAAGGACTGGCCCGCAAATATCAGCCTAATGTACTGACGCGTTGCGGGCACACGCGGTCCAAACCCCACGCGCACGCCGACTCGTTCGCGGACAAAATCGGGATCCAGCCCGCCCCCGCTTGCCTCCGCTCTGCCGCCGCCCTGCTCACCGCTCAGGCCGCCGCCCTGCCCACCGCTCAGGCCGCCGCCGCTCAATCGCCTGAGGACCCTCCGCGGCGCCATGCCCAAGGTCCAGCCACCGGAGCTGAAGAAGTTCATGGACCGGAAGCTCAGCAGTAAGGCCCCCCCACCCCTCCCTCCCTTCTGTTAGCCTGATCCGATCGCCATTTTCCAGCCCTCTGCTGCTTTACTTTAAAATTCTGTGGACGGGCATGCTGTGTGTGGATCTTGGTGACCTATGAAGAGGGCGGGGATCCCGCCTGGGCGCCCAGCGCCCGGCGGCGGCGTTGATTGGGCGCTATCTTTCATTTGTGGGCCTTGTTCTGTGCGGCTGTTCGTTATATGTATCCGGCTTGTATGTATGTCATCGCGTCGCTGGCAAGGAGACCGTGGCAGGTGCTCCGGCTGTGGCGTACCGAGACGCCCATCATCACATCCCAACTTTGGTTTCGCCTGTGCATGATTGGTTGACGGCGGCAAACCAAATCGCCGGTTTTGCACGCCCTCACCGCGTATTCCTTTCTGCCAAAGTGCAAAAATGACGCCCAACATGTTGGTGCAATGCCCTCACTTGGGGTGGTGAAACTGCGGCTGCGATTTGGCCGATTCCCTTTGTTGTGGTAAAAAACAGCCTTTGCCAGGGGCTGGTGGAGGCGGGCTGCCCCTTCCCCCCAAGAGGCAGTGGCGTTCGCAGAATGCGCAGATCTGTAGTCTTGTGTTGACTGGTGATTGGCTGCACCGAAATAGCGCCCCCTCCTGCTTTCATTCAGGAAGGGGGGTTTTGCACAGGTGCAAGAGGGAAGGCGTTCCATTCCAAAGGGCGTGAGGCGATATCAACGCCGCATTTCCAACTCTCCTGGAACACACCTGTGCTTTGTCAAGCTGGCCTTTGCGTGGTGGATCGCATGTTGTTGTATGTGGGTTTGGCTGTGGAGCATGCCAGGGCAATGTGCTATGTGTGGACAGCCAATGGAAAGTCGAGAGCTTGTTGTGAAGCTGTGTATAAATGACCACCATTGCCAGTGCTGTTGCGTTGGCCTTTCCAATTAACCTCGATTGGGAAAGAGTATTGTCCTTTTTTGCGTTGAGTGGGTTTGTCCTGTCACCATCGCCTTCCACAGTGCCTGGGACGTTATTTTGTCAAAATCGCTCTGGGGAATGGCTATCAGTGTGAGCTGCCCTTTGCATAGCCTGTTGCAAGAGCACTTGGGCTTTGAAGTGAAGAATCTGTCAAGGGCATCAATTGTGCATTGTCTTCCATATTAGTCCACAACAATTTTTGGTTTGGAAGAGGTTGGGTGGGGGGGGTGGGGGGGGGTGGGCACCACATGCCAAATTTTCTGTTCGAAGGCACTTGCAAACCTTTGACCAGTGAGCAACTAAGCATGTGTGCTGCTGTGTTCAGTCACGCTGAATGGGAACCGCCACGTGACGGGGGTCCTTCGAGGATTTGATCAGTTCATGAATCTTGTGCTGGATCAGACTGTGGACGAAAAGATGAAGGTGGACATCGGGATGGTGGTGAGTGCCAGTGGTGTGGCGGAGTTGTTACTGAGGGGCACTCATGAAAGTAGTCGTAGCGCCCTCTGATTGGCTCGTGTCATCAGCTATGAATGCGATTATCCAAGGATGCAAGGATATACCTGGAAATGCAGGGAGGTATGTTGGCCAGTGAGGCTGTCCACGGCCATTTAGTTCTGTTTGCTCCCAGAATGTCCACTGGTCTTTGCCAATTGGTGTGTCCTACCTGCACTGTTAACAAAGAGCTTAGGGCATTGATAGAGTCAGTGCTTACTCCCTCAACCAGAATGCTGGCTTGTTGCAATCGCATACCCCCCACCCCCACCCCACCCTGCCCCACCCCGCCCCACCCTACCCCCCACACACACCTCCACCCCCTATCTATTCCTGAGCAGCACCAACTTTGGTGTGAGCAGTTGATGCTGTGCCCAAGAAGCATATTCTAGTATTATTCGACTTTCGCCAGTTGGATCGGTTGATTTGTTTCCACGCTCTTAAGAAGGAGTCCATTCTAGTTTGGAGCTGTGCTGGACGGAATGCTAGTCTGCGTTAGGAGTCAGCCTCTTGTGTGTATTTGACTTGATAGCACCTATCTAGCACCCCCTCCTGGTGCCGATTGGGACGGGGGCTCTACACAGGTGCAAGAAGAAATGCGTTCCATTCCAAAGGGCGTGCAGCGATATCAACGCTGCATTTCCAACTCTCCTGGAACACACTCCTCTTGATTCCCATTCCTGGCAAGGTTGCCTTGTGCAAGTCTCTTTGCACTTGGTGCAGGTGCACAGCAACCTTTGCAGATTTTGTTCACTGCAGTCTTGTTGACATCTTGTGACAAGGGCACAGAATGTGAAGGTGTCAGGTGTATTGTGGCAGACTCTTGGCTCTATTTCCACATCTCCGCCCCCACCCCACCCCCACCCCCTACCCGCCCCGGCAGTACATCGTTCAGTGGCCACTGGGAAACGATGCGGTCCAAGTCATTGTCCACCTGTCACGGCCCATGGGAGTATGTGGATGGCATTTTGAGCGAAGCAGGCCACAATTACTGCCAATCCCGACTGGCTTTGAGTCAGTGAGTCAGTCGGGCAGTCATCCACATACAGTCATCTTGACGAGTGGCATTGCGCGTGAGCAGGTCGTCAGGGGCAACAGCATCGCAACGATCGAGGTCGTTGTGTAACTGGGCTGGACAACTGAGGCGGTAGGAAACTTCCTAGGTATTGTCAGCCTGCTGAACTTGGACCCCAGGCCACTGCAGGGAACGGCACTGCCCTGTATTAATGCAACGACTGCGCCAAAGTGGGAATGCAGAGGAATCCTGCGTGGGCGTTGCATGGAACAACCAGGCATGTTTGAGGATTTACGCTCGAACGGGTGTCGAGCTTGATGTTGGAAGGCCCGACTTGCAAGTGTGGCAACTGCCGTGTACCAGTAGTTAGTGCTGTGCTGTTGGAGAATGTGACACTGGGAGGATGGGCTCCAGAGGCTGAAGGGGGGCGGTTCTATGGTCAGGACGGTGGGTGTGCTGAAACAGAGAGGTACTCGACAATGGGAATGAGAAATCCAGAACTGTTCATTCAATGTATTTGTATCGTTGGCAGGTAATAGTTTGGCGTTTGACTGGCAATTGACTCCCAGGCGTGCCTTGCAAGACCAGTGGCAGTGATTTGTCGAGCTTAAGTTCCCTAAATAATGTCCGTTTGGACTCTGAAGCAACGAAATGGGGAAGCCGTCAGCTCCCTATTGTGCCTGAGCAAAGCAGTGCCCATGGTTGTTCGTTGAAATCCAACGTGCAACACAAATATAGCCCAAAAACCATCAATTCCAAATTTGCGAGGAACGCTTGTCGATGACAGAACGGCGTCGTTCCGGCGGAATGAAGGAAGACCAGATTTGACACGTGCGTGTGAGGATGATGGCGATCACAACGAGAACCGTTAGCTGTAGCACGATACACGATCTGTGCCAATCAACCCCAATGAACACATTATCATCACAGGCGTTGACGAAGGCAGGCAGGGTCGAGGGGTGGCGGCACCCGGTTGGGAACCGTGGGCTCGAGTACAGAGCAACGGTCCACAGCCGAGCAAAGGGTCAGCAGGAGTTCTGTCCCTTCTGTCTTGTCCGCTCATCGGTGTCCATTATCCATTGTCTCATCACCTCCCGGAGCATCTTCGTCGGCCTGTGCTATACAGCACAATACATTGTTCTGGCGGTGCTATTCGGCCATTTGAAGGGCACCGCCCCCCCCAAAACCACCATTAAAGATCGTGTTAGTGCGTCCGACTACAAATAACACTCGCTCAGTTGTGTAGGTTACGCATAGTAGGCGAGGTTACGGTAAGCCCGGAAATAGGGCGGGAGAATTCCAGTGACTCACAGGTGATTCGGCTGGCTCTGTCTTCTCGTCCTGGCAGAAGCGCGCGCAGGCTGTGGCGCCAGGGAACCTTGGGGCCGAAAAGCATGACGGGACGACTTCCAACGGCTCCGAGTGGGTCGCGAGTGGCGGCGCCGCCTAAGAGACCTGTCAGGAGCCATACTGCACTTCGTTTTCTCTCCCTCCCGCCCACCGCTGTGTTTTGGTTGTGATGATGGGGATCTTTGATATGATTCTCGCTCTGGATATTTTCTGGGACCGAAAATGGCAAAACATTGATATTGGGGTGAATGCACCGACCGATGCAGATTTCGTTGTGGGAAGATTGGATAACGGACTCGGGTATATGTGGCTGTGTGGACATGGTTTGTGATATCTGTCGCATGTGCGACGAGCTGGAAAAGTGATTGTAATTGCTTTTCAGCGTGTGCCCTGGGCGGGCAGAATTGCAGGGCTGAACGTAACTGGCAACAACGGCGTCACGTCGGCCTGGTGGTCGCGCGATCCCCATTTCACTGTCCTCGACCGCCTGATCGCGATCACATTCTCCAACCCTGCCCCGGGCCCTTTTCACCCCTCGCTTTTCCCGCCATCCCCGATCTTCCCCCCCCCCACCCGCCTCAGGCACCGACCGCCATGACCTGCCCGCGCGCCACGGCCCCAGAAGGCCACTCACCACTCCCGCGCCCGACTCTGCCCGCCTCCAGGGGCCCCAGGCTGCCCTCTGGCCCGCCTTCGAGCTCACCGCGCCATCGATGCGATCGAGCGCGGCGCTGCAGAGTGCCGGGGGCGATCGCGCAGGGAGCGGAGGCGAAGGGCGTGGGGGAGCGCGCGGGCGGCAGCGATTGGAATCAGTGGATAAGGGAGGGGCAGGGTGAGGCGGCGTTGGTTCGCCGACAGGTGGGTGGCGCTTGGGCAATGTGTCCAGGACGCCAATCGCGCGAACGTTAAGCCAGAACCTCCAAACGCCAATCCCTCAAAAGAGAAGAGTCACTGCGCTTCAAACTCCCCCCGAAGATGCCTCGAAAGAGCCGTAGCGCGTCCGTTTGTCGCGGATGTTTGTGTTGCGGATTGAGCGGCAGTCGACTTCGCGATCAAGGGGGTTGTGAAGTGCCCGTGAGGGGAGGTCCGTTCCAAGGGGCGCTGCAGGATTTGGTGTCATTCGTTTTGCAAACGACTTGATTCACTGAGGATTTTTCCAATTTGCAAAACCCCCTGTTTCCTGTGTTTTGGCCCGTTTGATGCAATTCTCTTTACTGCGGCTTCTTGTAGAATGGCTCTATGTGGGCTTCTGTTGTAAACATCGCTACCACAGGGCGATCGACCCCCCCTGAATGCGATCAGAGGTATTGGTCATGTTGGCTGTATCCATACTTGATCAGAGAGGCCCCTGAAGTGCACCCCGTCTTGTTCCTCAATTTGTCCATACTTTTACGCCTTTTCGTCCTTTTGTGGATGTGACAACATCCATATCATCCTCCAGTTTGGAGCATACCCTCTTGAGGGAGCCCCCATAGACATTACCCATACCTTCCTGAGCATCTGTGGATTTTGGGTATCTTCTTGGACATGAGAATTCTCAGGCAGCAAAAAAGTGGACGGGGCGGTCATGTTTATGCACGAAATGTTCTGTTTGGTACAGCAACGAGCCTATGACATGGCACAGGACTGAGCTTTATGTTGCAATATATGGGATGTGAGGAAGTTCAGTTCAGCTCAGCCTTGCCCCAGCATAATGTTTCTTTCCCTTCTACATCATGATCAGGCTGAAAAACGAGATGGCAAGCAAGCCAAAATCGCAGACACGCTACCAGCCTGGGATGTGTCTGCCACAGCCGATGTGGCTGTCGTTGGGTGCGGCCCTGCGGGTCTGGCACTTGCCGGGGAGCTGGGGAGAAGGGGGATGCATGTGGCACTGGTGGGTAAGTGCTGTTTGCTATTGTCAGGGCTCATGTTGTGCCAGCTCATGTTGATCAGTGCGCATGCAGTATGAACAATTGAAAGCGTGATGCCTTCATCTGTGGTGGAAAGACTCCAAATACATCCCACCTCTGCATCCCATCCCTCACAATAGGGCCAGTGAGTAAGCAAGAAGAATGGACTAAACAATTAGAATGGAGCAGACCAATGGAACAAAATTGACAAAAGAGAGAATTGTACAGTGCTCCTGTGGGCTTTTTTCCAAGAAAAGAGGCACTCTTTGCTTCCTACTGTTGGCTGGTTGTCCAAGCATCCATGACGCAGTGCGATTGCCCAACTCTTCCATCCAAGTTGTCTTGTTACCTCTCAAGTGTCTGGCCACCAGCGAAGAAGTTCTGATGTGCATGCTTCCATGCATTGCTGTTTCCCATAGTTCTTCACCCCAACTGGTGCAGCGCTCAACAAGAGTCCGCTTCCCCCCCTGCCAACCGAAAATCGCTTGGCCACCTTAGCAAGATGGCACAAGGACGAAATTGATGGATCTCAAATTAAGATTCTGAATTTGATGTGTGCGCAAAGTGCTGCAAGCAACGAAGAACGTATTCACTCATTATTCAACTTTTCGCTTGGCCATGTGACAATGACTTCATTTGGGAACATGGGTTTCATGGGCGCTGATGAAAGGTTGAATGACCATATCTGACAGTGCATTTTGTTGTTCTGTGCATGCACTGCAGGATTCAATGTGCGATGTGTTACTTGAATGTTCTGACATGTTACTTGCTATGTGTAAGGCACAGTTGCGTCAGCTGATATTAGTCCGATTTGCTGAGGCAGCCCTACCTCCCCTCCATTCAAATTTCCCGTACTTTATCGACACAAGCAGCGTCAAATGTGCCATGAACTTTATTCCTTGCTGGCTGTGCAGGTCTGGATTCAGCATTTGTCAACAACTACGGTGTGTGGAGGGATGAGTTTAGTGACCTGGGGCTTGAGGGTGTTCTGGAGTGCGTTTGGGAAGACTCTGTGTGCTTCTTTGGTGAAGGTCAGAAGGTGAGAATGTTGGCCAAGGAAAGTGTACTGGGGAGTGTGGTGCTGTCAATTGTTGTACTGGGTGGTTTGTAAATTTTGGCTTGAATGGTTAGCAAAAGGCGTGTCAAAGTCACCATCCACCCGTTTGTCTTCCATGCACCAAGATGCGCCAATATGCTAATGCACAGATGCAGAAAAGGTCGTCCATATTTGATTGTGGAAGTCAATTCATTGTCATTCGGTGAAATATGAAGTTGGCACACATCGTTCAGACTATGTATGGTGCCAGTAATGTGGAGATAGCAAGGAAGTTTAAAACCATCTTTGACGATGTGATCAGCCACCAAAATCAGTTGTTGGCTGTATTTTCAAGGTGAAATCTTAACACACATATTTGTGTTGTGCAATTTGCAAAATGTGTATGTGTAAAGCAAACAGATATTTGTGGATATTTGTGGATGAATGCTGTAGCAAGCAAATGCATGAATGCACCAAGTTGAATCCAAGAAACCAGATCATACAAGATGGACAAACAGATGTCATCACTGCGAAGTCTATTTCACACTGTTGCCAGAATAGCCATGGCGATTCAGCCCTTGCTCAAGTTCAAGTGCTTTTTTGCCAGGTTCAAGTGGCACGGGGCTATGGTCGCGTTTGTAGACGAAAACTGCGGGAGCACCTGCTGAAGGGTTGTGCTGGCGGACAAGTGTCGTTCCACGAGGGGCTTGTGGAAAAGATCGATGCAGATCAAGGGGAGGAAACCAGCATGCTGCGGTGCAAGGATGGGTCAGAGGTGCGCGCAAGGTGGGGAATGTTAACTTCAGAGAAACTGAATCATACAGCAAAGCAGTTGGCAGCAGAGTGTCACACTGCGTGGGAAGTTCTTATGTGCAGTTTGAATTCGACTGGGTGCTGCTTTTTGTGTGGGCTTCAACATCAGCGCATCTTTCTTGTTGGGATAGAAAACTGCCAGCCCTATGAACTCCAGCTGCGCTGTATCGCAATTTGGCATAGGTGAACAACAGCTTGTCGAACATTGGCGAATGGCATCAAGCGGAGTCTCATTCATCCTCCAGAAGCTTCTGCATTTGTGTGGTCTCTTGTTCTTTCCACTGCCTAGTAGGTGAAATTCTGACATGTTATTGCCCAGTGTATGGCTCTTTGTGGTGTGAAATTATGCCGTAGAGTTGGGCTGCAGTGTGTTTGGGTATGTCGATTCAGATTGTAGGCTTTCCGTGGGTTGCACCAATTCATATGTAGACAGGAGCATCAATCTTGATCTCAACACTGCTGCTGGGTGCAACAATCTTATTCAGGACAGAACATCGATTCAAATCTTGATCTTTCTGGGGTTCTGTGTGGGATCTGTCACAGGCTGGTGACACTCGCCTCTGGCGCAGCAGCTGGCAAGTTCCTCAAGTATGAGGAAGATGCACCTGCCACAGTGGCACAGACGGCTTACGGGATTGAGGCAGAGGTGGATGGCTATGAAAAGGGGTTTGACCCCAAAAGTATGCTGTTCATGGACTATAGGAGGCACCACACTGGGGTGTGGGAGGACACGGCTTATACACTTGAGGTGGGAGTGGCGGTTTGCGTACCTTACTTATCCTCATGCAACAATGACTGACTGTATGCTTCCAATTTATTACTGGCATGTTATTAGCGCCACATTTGTCTTTGTATTTCTTTTATAGTTAATGTTCGCATGTGCAGCATGGATTGCTGCAAAGCTTGCTGTGGTATTTTTGGCTGCAAGCTATGCGTTGCAGTTCAGGGTTCTTGTGCTGTCCCTATCCTGGCAAGAAGAAATTCGATGGTGTTGCCATCTTTACAGTTACAGAGGCCAAAGAGAATTTTGCTCTGGTGAGACGTTGATGGATTTCAATTAATTCAATAGATTCTTGAGGAAAGGTGGTAAAATCTGATGGGCAGAAAGTACCAGGAAAATGAAAAGCAACTAACCTCCTCCGCCGAACCAAGTGGTCTGGCATCCAAAAGATGTGCACAAACTGCAATTTGCCATTATGCAGTCCTGTTATCACAGTGGGTGCTGTGGTGTAGGCAGGAAAGCACCCCAATGCAGGTGACGGCCTGTGGGGCACCTCTAAGGAGGTTCCTTCCTTTCTGTATGCCATGCCTCTCCTGGATGGGACTGTCTTCCTTGAAGAGACCTGCCTGGTCGCCAACCCAGCCCTGCCATTTGCCGACCTCAAACGACGACTGGAGAGGCGGCTCGCGGCATTGGGCATCCGGGTCAAGCACGTGATCGACGAGGAGTGGTCGTACATTCCCATCGGTGGGCCCCTGCCCATACGAGACCAGGCAGTCACGGCATTTGGAGCGGCAGCCAATTTGATCCATCCAGCAACTGGTGGGGTTATGGGAGCAAAACTGGGCTGTTTGGATGTTTCCGCAGCTCTGTTGCCATGGAAACGTATGTGAACATAAATTGAACGAAGAACATGAACAGAGATTTCTTCTGGCTCTTGCATGTGCCATGCACTCATTAGACTCATTAGACACATTGCACGATGGGTGAGTGCATGTGCACTCGAGTGTCCACGATGTGCTGCCCAACCAAATTGTCATTTCCAGTATTTTGTGCTTTGGTACTGTCAGAATGCATGAGTATCTCTCACACACACACACACACACACACACACACACACACACCCTAAGGCCCCTGCTAAAAACTTGCAGCAGGTGCAGTCAGATTTGTTTTTTTCGTTTACATTTTGCGTTTACGTATTTATGAGTAAAAACGTAAATCTGCGAAAGGAGCTATTTTTACGGCTGTTTTTATGGCAATTTTTACATTTGCAGGGCTCGTTGGGACCGCCAGGTTACACCATGAAAGTTGCGTACATTGATCAGTCCTCCACCATCTGCAGCAACTGCAACACAGTGCCCCCCTCATCCTCGTCAAGGGCAACGATGGCATGGAACAAAAGTTCGTTTTCTACCCATTCCAGTGTGTCTGACTGCCACTTCCCGGACTCCCCAGCTCTGTATATACTGTCGTTATGTACAGGAGGGGCTTGTGTTTACATAATTTTATGCCCTGTATGCGTAAACAAGTAAAAACTAGTTTAATGCCTGAAAACGTAAATCCGTTCAGTTTTTACGGCATAAAAACCAAGCCTGGGTGCAGTGTTTTGCAGTTCAGATAATCACTGCTGCCCAGCACTTGCCAACATTTAGTCAGAATGTTGCCGCAAAGATCTTCGACATAGTTCAACAGGACTTTTGCAGCAAAGAGCCTGTTGAGCGTCTACTAGCTTCTTACAGAGCGCATCGTTTTTGCTTGCTGCAGCCGATTGCTTTGATTTGCGCATTCTACCTTGTAGTTTTATGTGGATGTGATGGGTGATATTGGTAGAGTTCTTGCCAAGTAGCCAACTCAGACCACTGGCCGTTGTCCCAGTTGTGATCTGCAGGCTTCTTTTATTCAACTGTGTACAATGAAAGACCAGCAAGTGAATTCAGGTTTGTTAATGAATGTGAATCCGTACATTTGCTTGACCTGTGTCTGTCCTCTCGACAAGTGCAACTGAAAGCAGCAGTTGCAAGGTGCTTGCAATGCTTTTCCAGTTCAGCTCGGGGCAGCCATTTGTTCATTGACTGTTGCTTGCTGCCCATGACTTTGTGTGTGTTCACACTTTGAAAACTCTGCACTGGGAGTACTGTTGCCTGAAGCACAGCGAGGAATCTATGGGATATAAAGACACTGGATCAGTGGCCGGACCAGGGTCTCAAACTTCCATTATCTATGGTCCCTGTCTTTGTTTGCTCTCTACCTGTCGCTTTACTCTTTTTGCCTGGGTATACTTTTTTCTGTTAAGTCCAGTTTGTTTTCGTTTTTGGTTCTATTGACATTTGGATTTGCTTATCCTCTTCCCATATACTGTGTTGCATGACATGTAAGTTTCCTAACCTGCTTGTTTGCCATCCAAGGCTACTCCATTGCGCGCACGCTTCGGGAGGCACCTGCCATGGCCGACGCCATAGCCGATGCTGTCAAATCATGCCCCCTTGTGGGACAGAGGTCCGACAGAGTTTGGGACACCCTCTGGTCACAAGAGAAACGGAAGCAGGTGGGACATTAGCCCCCTCGCTGGTGGAAGATGGCAATCAACAGTTCATCATGCAGCTGTCGAAGTTTCTTTCAGCCATAGCCACTGCTAGGTTGTTTTGTGGAACTATTTTGGTGCACATGGTAGCACCTCTCCACCTCCCAGTAACAGCAGTGAAATAACAGCAACATGGGAGTGACACCCGATCTCTTAAATCTGATGTACACATTTGGGAAACAGCAGAAACAGCCATGTCCACCCATTTTCTGCCCTCAGGCTGCCTTCCATGTCTTTGGCATGGAGCTCCTTGTGAAGCTTGACCTGGCATCCATCAACAACTTCTTCAAAACCTTCTTCCGCCTTCCCGAGTTTTTCTGGCGGGGCTTTCTGGCGTCCAAGCTGTCGTCACTGGACCTGGTGGCCTTTGCTGGTGGCATGTTTGTGCTGGCGCCAATGCTCACCAAGTTCCAGCTGGTGTCACACTTCTTCACTGGTGGGTAGCCCTGCACATGAGGCTGCTGGCATCTGCGTGTGTGTCTGTGATAGTATTTGTGGGTGTTGTGACTGCCTTTTTTGGCTGTTTCAGTGTGTGAAAAGGGCTTGAATAGTTAAAACAGATGATCCATTATGGGTGTAATGCAACTCATTTAATTGGATTTTGTAGATATTTGGTGGAATTTGTCAGGGGGACAAAACAGTGCCCATGCACCTGGAGGGTAATGGCAAACAGTAATTCTATGCATGCAGTGTGTTGGATACTGTCCATTTATTTCTCTTCAGCAGATGGGGGGCTCTGCTGCTGCCTGTTTAGTCTACTGCCACTGTTGTGGTGCTTGCCCAATGCCTCACTGGTGTCTGAATTGATAAAGTGTGGAGCCTGTGCCAATGTGTCCAAAAGGTTGTTCGCGAATCCCATTGTAAAGTAAGTGGAGATGGCCATATGCACACATTCTGCACCACAATACCTAGAAAAAATGCTGTTGAGGAGGATGGCACACTTGGTGAGAGTGTAGTACTTAGTCTGCTGCATGTTCCAGCCACTACGTGCTACAATCATCACTTTTAACATTGTCATTTGCGTCTACTAAGCACATGAAATTCATGTCAAAATATTCCATATTTTGACACGTACCAACATGCTGCCAAGGATAGCATGCCCCACAGAGGTTGGCACTAAAATGCAAACCACCCATTGGTCTGCACAACAGCAACTTGAAGTACGAGGCTGTTTGTTCTGGTAACGGAGGCCCACAAGGATGTCCATTCTTCTCTGTGTTTGCCATTCCGTCAAAGTTTTCTAACACGCTCATGTTGCCATGTCGCTGCAGACCAGTCCGGCCGTTATTTGGTGCGCACCTACTTTCCCAAAGAGGATGAGGCCCAAGGTGCCAGGAGTGGCTAAACGTGTTGGACTTGGCAAGACAAAAGACACATCGAGTATAAAAGAGGAAAGCATTAGGAACGGGGGATGCCATCAAGGATATATGTGGGCAGACCCTTTCTGCCACTGTGGCATGGCTAGGGGGTTCTTTTGGTTGGTGCATGTGAACTTGTGGCCTTGCAGCTCATCATCGTGCACAACCTCATGGGGAGGGATTTTTTGACTGGGGGCCTGAGTTGCATACTTGGTCAGCTCTTTTACTACATTTTGTTGAAGAGTGATTTGTGAGTATTGAAAAGGGAGGGAAGCAGGACTGCAGGCTTGTGCGACCAACAATGCAGCAGTGAGCAAAGAACTGTCCCGGCTCTCCAAAATTTGCCTAAACTGCTGGACTTGCAACACGTTTGCCTGGCAAGGCTTGGATGGTCGTTCTGGAGGATAAGAGATGAAGAGATGTTGATAAGAGATGGAGGAGAATCTCGGAATCCTGAGGAGCTGCCTGCCATTGGTGGACTTTGGATCGCAGGGGACAGTGATGGAAAGTGGATGTTCAGTGAACAATGGATGTACATTGTTGTGGAGATGCACAGATGTGTATTGTCTGCAGATGCGTAAGCGCATGTTTTCATGGACGTGTGGACATGCAGTTGTGTAACTGTCCACAGCTGCAGGTGGACTTTGGTTTGGATGCCTGAGCAGTTCTGCTGGATAGAATGAAGCTCTCCTATTGCCATCTGAGGGGAACGGTATCTCAATGAGATTCCTTCTTGCCAGGTTGGAGTGCTGGAAGACAAGCAAGAAGAACAATCCGCCAGCAGGTCGATCTTTGTGCCGTTGGATGCATGTTCCTTTCAACACTGCCAAAGACGGCTGTCCAGTCAGCAGTGTCCAGATCCTCTTTGGGGGCAGGATACTCTGAGGAAGGAGCAGGGATGTAAGGGCCCGTGCGAAGAAGGTTGCCATCGGTTGTTTCGCAATTTTGACTGTTAGCACCAGTTTTAGGACATTTTCACTGTTGGGAGGCTGCTTGGGACCGTTGAGTGTGTGCTGGCGACGCTCGAATGGCTCTTGCATGTTTGGGCTGGCATCGCAGTGTGTGAGACCGGCGCCAAGGCGCTGTTGGGCGACATTGCATTCTTTCAAATTGAATCATTCAGCAATTGGTACTGGGCATGTTCTGTGTTGGCCGCTTGTTCTCTGCACGTGAAGAGCAAAGACTCGCAGCAAATCCCGCCGGACCGGAGCCAGCAGCCAGGATATGGGGCTGGCAGATTCCTGCTGGCCTTCAGCACCTCGCTATGTGGTTCGATTGTCCGCCACGCCCGACCAGTTTGCACCAGTGCACGCTACATTCGCGAAATGATGCACACGATTCCACCTGACCGGTCTCCTGAACCCACCCAGTCATGTTCCCCACACAAGTGCTTGGGTCACCAATAATGAGCCCATTATGGCTCCATAATGCGCCACTCAGTTGCGACAAGCTGGTGCCCCGTGAGGCCCAGAGTTCTGCGGCATGGGACTCCAGTACGGGGGAGCCATGGCCGGTCGGGGAGGAATCGTATGAGCAAGGGGTCTACTGGGGCAGTATCGGCAGCCCAGGCTATGGCGACAGGACCCAGGTTCAACGACAACCTGAGCGATACGCTCTCAAAACCCGTCCAACTAAGCAGCGCAGCCAGGGAAGCACATCCAAAGCCGCGCGAGCCGTCGGGGCTCTGCGCCACCCCCAGGGGCAACGGGGCCCTCCAACGCCACGCAGCACAGGCCTGCTGGCAGGCGACCCACGCAACTCATTCGCAACTCATTCAGGGACAGACAGGGGAGGACCCTGCGGTGAGAAACCGGAGCAATGCCCATTGCTGGATCGGGCGGCTCCGTGGACATCCATGGGTCGGCGATGGAGGGGTGCAGCCACACGGTGGCTGCTTGTACCCGTGCGGGGACAGCCCCCTTCCGCCGGGGGAAAACCACCGCCTCCCCAAGGCCTTTCAGTCTGCCCGCCAAGTTTTTTGGGGGGTGGCTTGGCGTTCCAGAGCCCCTAACCCGAATGCCCCGGACCTGAGCTGCTGGGTCTCGACGGTCCGGGTGGGCGCGGGCAGAGCGTAAGGCCGACCGCATCAATCTGAACCGGTGGAATCACGGAGGAGGGACTCCACGCCGATCTGACCAGTGGAGGTTTGCGGCGGAGTCCCTGTGGATGAAATGCATCGGCCCGGAACCCTGGGTGGGGCTGTGCGGAGGTGGCGGGGCTGGCCGGCTCCGTGGCCTGACGGATGGTCCCCGGGGTTGACTCAATGGGGGGACCTGGTGCGGGTGCGGTGTGATGAGGTATCGGGATATCGCTGGCAGGATCGGGTAAAATCGGGCGCCATCAAGTTGGCTTGTATGTTACTGCACTGTGAGCCACACGGAAGAGGGCCAGTTGGTGTGCATGCCTTCTGGGCCGTCATTATAGGGTAAGAGGGGTCATTATGGGGTAGGAAAGGTATCAGTCGATCAGAAATTTGATTTGCAATCGAAAGGTGTTTTCTGTTTCTCATTTGATGAAGAATTGAGGGTTTTAGCGGGATTTTCAGCTGGGGATTGAGGGGCCACAGGCAACCAGGCTGTCCGATACGCCTGAGAAAGGACTGGTTTGACTGATGATTAGTCAGGGGGCTGTGGATGGGATGTTGAGGCGCGCATGCATGGATTCCATGTGGATATCACGCTGTGCGCACGCAGAAGCCCTCCGTGTCACCTGTGAGCAGAGCAAGAATGGCCGGTGCCCATAATAGCTCCCGAATTGACAAGTTCCTGGAGTGGCGCCGCGCCCAGTCTCTTCCGGGGCTGAACGAAGTCAAGGACTTCTGTGGTCAGCTGGAGCAGTTCCAGGCCACACGGCCCGCGATGCCAGGCGGTCAGGCGTCCGGTTCCAGCGGGAAGCCACAGGAGGGCAAACTGTGGAGGCGGGCGTGCGATTTGCAGTGCGCTTTGATGGAGGTTTGGGAAGAGTCCTTGGCAGATGACCACCATATCTAGGATGCGGTGCAACATGCTGGGATGGGCTTTCAGCTGTCGCTGGACATGCAGAATCTGGCCCCTGCTATCAGGGCCGAGATCATCATGCAATTTGAGACCATGTGCTACATGGGTCTCAAGCCAGCGTGGGATGCGGCCAGGCAGGATAACGAGTTGTCGCAGCTGCGCATGCTGGACAACAAACCGGTGATTTGGCAGGCCATGGCGGTGATTGAGGACGACATTCGGGCGGCCAGGATGAAGGTGGTCGATGACTTTTTCCACATGCAGCTGAAGGTGCAGTCCCTGGAGGAGGCCTTCAGTGAAGACGGGCCAGTGAAAGCACTGGAGGCGGACAGGGCGTTCCTGATGCATTTGCCGCCGACCCCTCCCAGGCGGGATTAGCGGTCGCCGTCTTTGAGAAGACCGATTGCGGAATGGCATGCGCGTGATATGGCCATACAGGCGAAGTGGAGGTTTGATGCCATCCGGGCGGAGATCCAGGGATGGCTTTAGGGGCAAAAGCCCAGGCCTGATTTCGAGCGTGAGGAGACGCCACCAGCTGAGAAGCATGGGGTGAATGGGGTGGCGCAAGGCGCATGGTGTGGGTGCCGGGTGGAGCGTTTTTGATGTGACATGTAAGTATTGACTAGACCGTATATGGAATCAAGGGGATATCCTTAGGGTGTGCGGACGGGCAGAAAAGTGATATGGGTGAACTGACATGGACATAGTGAAGGAAAGGAGGATCAGGGGAGTTTAATGAGATGACCAGTGGGGCAGCGCGAAGGTTGGGTTGTAAGGGATATCCAGATGTGTGGCTGTGGGGAAGATCTGGATCCCAAGGTGGACCTTTCGGTGGACCTTTGTAATTGTCGTATGAAACTGGTTGGGATAATGTATAAAGTGGCGGGGGTGCGCATTGTAGCCGCCCCCGGTCTATATATATAAGAGTGCGTTTCTTGCTACCGGAGCACCTGAACAGGCCAACTCACGAGGTGAGGGCGGGACCTGACGGTCGGGCGGGCGGTTCCCTACATAGGGATAAGCCCAGCGTCCTGTGTGAAGCGATTTCGGTCACATTTGACGTGGTGAATCGGTATACGGTTCTTCCGCATGTCGAATTCCACTGCGCAAACCCCGAAGGGTCGTGCCATGTCCTGGCACAGATCTCTACACAAGACATTTACAACTTTACAAGGCAGGTGTCCGTCACCATCGTCTCCAAATACCCGAGGTCCCCGTACTTAACAATTTGCCCTTTCGCTTCACACACACTTCGCGCCACATTTCTCCTGCGACTCAGCCCTGAGTCAACGCCCTAATCTAGTATTTCCTTCCACACCTTCCCTCTATCTCCCTCAACCGAGCTCCACTTTCTAGGGCAAGAGAGCCGGGTGCGAAACAAGATATGAGGCGGACCGAGGGTGGAGCCTAAGTAGCTGGCCCCGCCCAGCCCCACCAAATCCCGCCAAAGTCCAAGGGCGCCAAACTGATAGCACCTTGGAAACTACGTACTTTGACTGACCCAGCGTATTACAGGGGCAAGAAGCCCGTTTGAATTCAAATGCTACCGATTTGAATCATCGACGCAGCCATCCCAAAGTCGCCCTTGGCCAAAACATATTAACAAGATTGGTAATTTCATTTACTACATCGCTGACAGCTGCCTCCTTGCCTTGATATTTAGACTTTCACGACAATGATGATTTGTAATTAGTGTTGGGCAACTCTCCCGCAAGGACGGAAATAAGTGTGGTGGAATTTACTACTTAAGACTACAGTGGTACTAACTGTAACATTTACCCGGAGTAAATA